CCAAACCCTTTGGGTAAACCCTATGGGTGCTCCCCCCCCATCTTTAGTGTGGGGATGGAGGTTGCCCCCCCGAGGGCATCCCCCCGACACCTCCTGGTGCTTTGTGGGGTGCATGAAAGGTCCTTTTGTGCCTCCTGCCGTGGGCAGGGCTGGGGCACGGGGCCAGGACGGCGGCTCCCTGTGTGTGTGTGTGTGTGTGTGTGTGTGTGTGTGTCACGCCACACCACCGGCACCCTTCGCCCGGCCCCACGTTAATGATTCCCCTCCCGTCTGTGCCACCACCGGCACCGCCAGCAGCCGCCCCGGCGAGGCGGTGGCAGCAGAGACGGGGGGTCCTGGCCACGGGTGGTGGCTTTTTAGGGGGTAAAGGGGGGGACCCCACGGTTCCCTGCCCCACGCCCCACCCCTCCGTCCCCACACCCAGATAAGAGAAGCTGCCGGCAGCACCGGCGTGGGTGGGAGAGCATGGCGGCGGTGACGGTGAACCTCCGCGCTGTCACCTCCTGGGTGGGCATCGCCCGGCTCTTGGCCGTCGTGCTGTCCTGCCTGGCCTTCAGCTTGGTGGCCTCCACGAGGGAAAACCACAGCACCTACTGGACGTGGTGCATGTTCACCTGGTGCTTCTGCTTCGCCGTGACGCTGGTGGTGCTCCTGCTGGAGCTGCTGGAGCTCTACCGCCTGCTGCCCATCTCCTGGGATGACTTCACCTCGGCTTTCTCCATGCTGGCGGCCTTGATGGTCTTCACCACCTCGGTGGTCTACCCTTCCACCTCCATCGGCAGCCCCTGCAGGAGCCACTGTGCTGAGAAGGCCGTGGCCACCACCGCCTCTTGCCTCTGCTTCTTCGCCTACGCCGTCGAGGTGGGGCTGACCCGCGCCAAGCCAGGGGACATCAGCAGCTTCCTCTCCACTGTGCCCGGGCTCCTCAAGGTCTTTGAAGTCTACGTGGCCTGCCTCATCTTCTCCTTGCTGGGTCGCTACGACCCAGAGCCTGGCCTGCACTGGTGCTTGGCCGTCTACTCCATCTGCTTCATCATCACCTTCCTCATCATCATCTTCACCATCGGCCGGTGCCTCACCTACATTCCCTGCCCGCTGGAGCAGATGCTGGTGGGCTACAGCGCCCTGGCTGTGGTGATGTACATCACCGCCACCATCCTCTGGCCCTACTACAACTTCAAGAACACGCAACGCCCCAACCCCTGCAACAGCGACTGCGACTGGAACAAGCACCTGGGGGTCACCTTCCTCACCATCTTCAACCTCATCGCCTACTTGGTGGACCTGGTCTACTCCACCAGGACGGTCTTCATCAGGACCTCTTCATAAGGGCTCTGGGTGGCCCCGGTGGGGCCAGGGGTGGTGGGACGTGGCCGGGGGCCGGTGTGGGGCTGCCGGTGGAGCTGAGGAAGAGGTGGGATGCCTCGGAAAGCTCCTTCGCCCCACGCCGCAGCAGGGAGCCATGGGGTGCTCCTGGGGGGACCCCGGCCGGGGAGAGGCTGGGGTTTCGG